CCTACCTTATGGGTAGGCCTGCAACAATCATTGCACAACTGTATAAAAAGTAGCTTTGATTCAGTCTAACCTTATTAAATCCTGTATCTTACCGAATTGTAACAAATCCTGTGTGGTGTTCAGGTGTAGAGATTACACCTTGGTGATTTAGTGGTGTGGTCGCAATAAATAGCCACAGTCATGAGTAATGGTCACACGTTATGGCAGCTTCTCTTGATGATGCAACACCATATGACATTGCCCTTCTGCTTAGCGGTCCTTCTCACAGACAGGAATAAAGGGTGGTGGAGCTGGCACAAATATCCAAACGGATGTTAATCAGCATTTCTACATCTATTTATGGCTACCTGTTGGAGATGATGCTCCATGATGTAACCCCGGTTGATTTATACCGATACAACAAATAGAGAAGACGATTTCAAAACAGATTTGACTAGATCCAACGTTTTTTCTGTTGGGTTTATATCCAGAACCAAAAATATAGTAAACATGAGAAAACATTTATAGACCTCAACTTGCTCTACGCCAAAACCTGTATTGCTCACAGACGTCATTCATTGGTTGAGATGGATGCTGTCAGGCCTCCCATTGGAGGAGATATCCTATATATTAAGGTCTAGACAGCATTGGTTTGAGAACGTATTGAGGCCCTTCATTGATTATGTAAAGGATCTGAATTTATCTAATGGTCAAGAGGATGAGTAGATGCAGTGCTGGTGCAGTTACTAAGGTGCTGTTTACACGTGAACGAAACGGGGTGTATCCGCTACTTTTCTCTTTCGTATAGCCCGTTCGTTCACACGAGGCCGTAACGGAACCGCGGAAACGGACCCCTAAAACGATAACGGGTCCCAAGGTGGATAGATCTGCAAACAGAACGCTCTGGGGGGCCAAACGGCTCCGTGTGTACGTCCCCGTCCTATACGATCATTTCCTGATAACGATGAAGCCATAGCCCCACCTCTCCCCACCTCTGCTGCTCACTGCTGTAGCATGGTCAGTAGCTACTGTCAGTAGCTACTGACCATGCTACAGATGTTAGTGCAAAATCTACAAATCCTCTACCACAACCATCAGCAACAAGTGGACATGGAGAACAACCAGTCAACCATGGCAACCACGCTCGGGGGTCTTCTTCGCTGCTTCTGGTGTATTTTGTGGCGGAAGTACAGCGCCACTTACAGGCCCGGCATATGTACTACAGCGTCTCCAACGGGTCGAGCGGTCTCGTGTGAACGGACACGTTTATTGAGCCGTATCCGTGTGAACGGAAGACTTTCTTGATATCGAATTTGGTTCGTTTGCGTTTCGTTTGCGTTCCCGTGTAAATGGGGTCTAAGACGGTGTGACTTTTCTTCAATGCATAATGTTTTCAAATGATTACCTTGTAATATCAAGAGGAAGCATCTCTTATTTTTGTATTGTTTAAAAAAATCTAAATAAAAACATTGTGGAAAAAAAATGATGTGTATGTATTTCTGTCTCCTGGGCTTACACACAGTTTTAGCTATGAATCCACACATAGGTGTCCTGCATCTGGCTCCAGGTCATTCTGTATCCCTAAAATGAGGCACTGGTACACATTTAGCCAGGCAACAGACTGTATCGCTGCTCCGCTGTCTCCAGCCCTGCAGAGGAATTCGACTGTGCATTCCTCTGGAATACCAGCTTCAGAGCATAGAGACAGGGAGAAAGAGGAGGAGAAGAAAGAAGAGAGGCTTTATTCAGCCTTATGTCACTGGCAGCCAGCACAATAACTAAATGCAGCCAATCCCTACGGAGTACAGGAATGTGAGGACGGAGAAATTCTGTGGCAAAGGGAAGACAACATTTCATATACAATTTGAGAACTCGGAGGAAGTAAAAACAAGGTTGTGAGGAATACAAGTACATACTCTTTGCAATATCCTGTTTTTATTTGCATTGATTTGAACGTGGAAATTGAAAAACACTGACATGCAATTGGTTATTGTAGTGTATCATTCCTTTGTCTTTTAACAAACTACTGTGTATACCATTGAGTGGAAATGTCTATATTGTTCACCACCTCACATGTTCCCCTTGAACAGTTGGATGAACAGTGACTATCTTTCCTTATACGGTGTTATCTTTAAGTGATGTGTATAAGCCAGGAATAATTGAAATTACATTGGAAATAATAAATAAAAAGCATACCACAGAGCCCAGATTGGATAGAGACTTCAGACACTGGGCCTCCTTAGTAGCATCTAGCTAATGCACACTTTTAGGTGTATAACATCACCTGCTGCAACATTAAGCTTTCAATATTGCAGCAGTCAATGCTCAAACTCATTCCAGTTGTTGAATATCACAGACACTTGGCTACTGTTGCCTTCCCAATGGGAAACCAGACTGCATAAAGACATGAAAGCACCATTAATACACATCTTTGACAGAAGTGCCCGCTGACTGGCACCCTGATACACTATGGCTTTATTGTGAGCAAACAAAGCAGCTGCTGACTCTATATCAAAGGGACGCCCCAACAGAGAGGTGCAGTGATGACGTGTTTTCATGCAGACCTGAAGTTAGCATCACAAAGGCTCCCTTGACAAAACCTAAAAGGGGTTTTTACATTGGATTTGGGAATATTGCAGAAAAAAAGATCTGTGGCAAACATGATACTTGCATATTTAGTTCAGGAGGATAACTGCCACGTATTACCACCACTTTTATAATAGTTAAAGCATCGTGCAAACGCCAGAAGTATAAACGTTACACTAACTACAGTACCACCGCTAAGCTAAAGGCGGCTAATATTTGGCATGATGACGTTCAGGAGTCTCATTTAGCCTTTTTTAGGTCACATAAAAGCCTTAGACATTCACTAATGGGGTATTTAATGATAGAACAACATGTTAAACATCTTGCACGCTTGTATTAACAACAGATCTAAATTTAGGCATCTAACCAAAAACATGTTTGAGACGAGGAAGCCTAAAGTGCTACAATGCTGACTCATTTCCGGATTTTAGGACTCCTGCTCCGATCTTTTATTGGAAAAACATATTTAACCATAACCAGTTACTGTGTGAATAAAAAAAATGCTCTTCAGCATGTTAGTGGTGCTGACAGGTCAAAATGATTCACCCAGGTTCGTAGGAACTTGAATATTCATGCATAAGTGCCGATATAATCTCAAACTAAAGCTTGGCTATTAGCAAGGAGGAAACTAATCGGGTCAAACATCACAAACATCTTGCATCTCATTTCCCCTAACAACCTCACTGCTTCTATGATCTTTTAAGAGTGTGCTTTTATCCTCGGAGGCTTCTCACTGCTCTGACTGAACTCCACAGGCATCTGACACACACTTGGGAATTGGCTCAAATCTAAAACAAATCATTTCTTGTGCTGGAGGAGTGGCAGCACATGTTGTCTTGACCAAATATGGCTGAGTGAAAACACTACAGCCAGGTCTCTGCAGCTCTCAGGAATGAAAAGCAGGTTTCCTTAACTGGAGTGCGAGTGGGCCATGACACAAAACGCTGACACCTTTCCAACAGAGCTTTTACTCTAAAGCCTGGATATGTGAGGCTAGGGGTGGATTAGCAGTCTGGTAAATTATACTATTCAGCCTCACAGTGCATCTGAAAGACTTGTTTATTAAAGGCATCAATGTACTTTCCCTATAGATCCACTTTAAAACACGAGTGTGGCTGTTTGGAGTCACAGGAAAAGTTTGATTTGAACATAGCCTGACTGTCCACTATAAATATGAGACGTATTGCAACATGTTTGTTGATGAAATCTGCTTTTAATTACGTTCCAGGGTGTGCTAAAGGAAAGACCACTGAGGTCATTAAATTAAAAAAGGGTTTATCCCCTTTGGAGACTGAACATGCTCAGCAGAGCCTTCGGCTACCAGAAATGAGATATATCAATTGTATAGATGACGTGTTATCTGTTATATGACTTGTATGTTTTACTCTGAAACAGAGCATAGATTCTGTGTATCAGTTTAAGCCCTTAACAAGATTTTCAACTGGTGGTGTCGAGTTTCTTTTAAACTTTTTGTTCCTTTTTATTAGCTACAGAGAATCTACAAAGAATCTGCTGACAACAGTTAACCCCTTCTGCTCAAGATAGCCAACCTAAAAAAGGAGAAGCCTACTCTATATTAAAGACTTCCCTCCACTTTTGAAAAACTCAACGCTCCGACCTGCGACTCGGATTAATTAAAGTAGATTTACAATGTCAATGTCACCTAAGCTGAATCAGATACTGTTTTGTTCTCCCGGTCAACATAGTCCGAGTACAAGATGACCTCTGTTGTTTAATATAGAGCCTTTTTTCTCTCATTACTTTTATCAAACCTATTAACCCAATGCTCAGTTTCTAAACCAACTCCTTCACAAAAGAGCAGGTAACATCCTTTTAGATAATTTGTGTGGAGAAGTTCTGACGAGATAAAGCTCTAAATGTAAAAAGTGAAACCTTTCGGAAGCGCAAATGTCCTCAGTAGTTTTCATTAGTGTTTGTTGGACAAACTGGGTACCGGAGAGGCATGAAATAGAATTTAGGAAGACAATAGGCGCTTTCACACCGGAGTACTTTTCCCCGAACTTTTCCCGTTTAGTTCCGATAGTTCCTGGGATTTTGCGTTCACACCAAAAAGAGAACTCAGTTCATGAGAACTTTTACCCCCTTTTTAGTCCCTGCTAGAGAGGTGGTACTTTCCTGGGGAGAAAAAAGTTCCAATTTCTGATTGGCTGGGCGAATTGCAAACCACGCCCCGTAAAACTCTGAAAGGTTTTGTGAAGCCGCCATTGTATTTGCTGGCATTAGCATTATTAGCATTAGCCCCGCGCACCAACGGAGAGAGAATAACTTATGGCAAGACAAAAAACAACATTGGAGCNATGTAATGTATTTACACGTTTCTCAGATTACCTGAAGACATATTTGCAATTGATGCAGAGGCAGCTTAATAAAAGATATGTCACTTGTTAGAAGCTATTATCCAAAGCGACTTCCATACGTTCGGTCCTGTGGGCAGTCCCCACAGGAGACATTTGGGGTGAAGTGTCTCGCCCAGGGACACAATGACACGCTGACTGCAGTTGGACTCGAACCTACTCTCCCCTGATGCGAAGATCAGTGCACTACCCCACTGAGCCACAGCCATCCATAATGATAGATTCAAGATTCAAGGCTTTTATTGTCATTTGTACATAGCTACAGTGTAGATATATCAACGGAAATCTTAGGTCACAAGCTCCTCCAACAATGCAACACAATAAAACAGATAAAATAGTTAAATTAGTAAAGTAAATACAAATGAAATAGAATTTAGCCTTTTTTGCTTTTTCAAGAAGTGTTGACCAACACAGAAACATTGGCAAACCATAAAAGAAGACATTACACAACATTAGAAAATACAGAAACACAACAGGAACTTTTCCAAAGGGAAGTACTGTATCTAAGATGATGTCGCCCTCTAGTGGATTGTAAATATAGTGCACCTAGTTTTCAAAAAGACCATCACAGCTTGTGACAAAGCCTTTTTTGATTTAATTAAAGCATGTCCTAAAAACTGGAATACATTTAATCGACCTTTGAAGCATCCCGTTATCAAGTTATTTTTCATTTTATGCTACTTCATACTCCACTATCTGATAGCTTTTTTCCATATTCAGCTAATATAACATATAAATCAGCTAATAAATAAAAGTAACACATAAATATAGGTTCAGATATACAGCAGCAGTATATAAAGAAATACAAATTAGCTCCATCTTTACCAGCTGTGATGAACACATTAATGCATCAATAATCATAATCCTTTCATTTAACATATGATTCTGCATACAAAGTACTTTTACTTTTGGTACATTGCGATAATGATACTTTATTTTAATTTAACTTCAGTAACATTTTGAAATGCAGGACTTTTAATTATAACAGAGTACTTAACAGTTTTACTTCATTAAAATACTACTACTGTACTGTAGCCACAAATAGGCCAAGTACTTCCTCAGAGTGTAACGACTGGATTTGACCCCATGATGAGTTCAGGGCCCACATTTCAGGTCACGTCACTTGGACTCTCTCTAAAATCCTTCTGTGGCCGTAAACTGGCCTCCAGCCCAGACCTCTAAGCTGAGTCTCGCTCCTCTACAGACTCCAGTCGCACTCCTTCCCGTCAAACAGAAATGGAGAGAGAAATATTTCAGTTCGATGCCCTTTTTATAGACATATTCTGCACATTTTCAGGTTCATATTAGTATTTAGTGTCTCTACTGCTACATGTCTCCATGCTTTAATGTTCAAAATGTCTTTATTTGTCTCATACTGCCTGTGCAGCAGCACCTCTTTTCACCCTATGTCTGAAACCAGAGCCCAGTCTGCTCTGATTGGTTAGGCCGGCTCTGTTGTGATTGGTCAACCACTTAGAGATGTCCAGCCCCTTAACCTATTATGTGCAACTTGTCTGTGGGAGAGAAACTCCCTCTGGAGGGAACACAGGGGTGTTAGCCTTTGCAGACCTCTTACATGCACACAAACCTATACAACACACCACAGGAGAGGGAAGACCACAAAAAGCTCAAAGACTCAACAATGAACTTGAGAACTTGGGGGTCGTATTTGATTCAGAGCTTTGACACTGTTTGTACTTTAAAAACACGATTTTATTCTAAATATATTCTTTTTTATATTTATTTTGTTCTTATTTAATTATACTTCTATTTTGTATTATTATATCTTATTTCATGTTATTCACAATGTATTCCTGCTTTATTTAGTTTATTCACATTTATTTTCCTCAATTTTCATTCTTATTTATACATTTTTGTGTTCCTTTTTTAACCTACTTAAATAACATCTGGAATCGTTTACACTGTCAGCTCTAGTCCCTGCTGGTTATACATACTGCATACTTCAGATCCAGCCTTTTTCCCCTCGACTGAGCCTCAGTTGTGTAATTCTCTTTATTCTATAGCTACTCTCTTTATTCAGCGGAGGCTTTCTGACGCTGCCTCAGGACTGCATGCTTCAACAAGTCTCTGACATGAGTGCAGTCTGTTTACATAACAGCCTCCCTACAAACCAGTACTGCGGTCAAGCCAGCCGTCTTTCACTTTTGCGTGGTCAAACCAGCCGCTCCTGTATTTCGAGTGCGCGATTAGTTACAGGTTTACGGTAATGCAATAAAACAACTCTGGGAAGCTGGATTTCAAAGTAAAGGATGGCTTGTGGTTCATTTCTATTATTTGCGATTGAAGAACAGGGTAATCTATGAGACTAATTGTAGGACTTATTGCTTCATAAACTTGTTGCACAAATACTATGAACTACTTTTACTGTGTACTTTTTGAGAATGGCAAAATTCCCTCCAGAGAACAAGAAGGAGCATTTTTGTCTAACTTTGACGTGGGATAAAAAACATTTCTTCCATAAGTAGTTTATGAGTCTGCCATGTTTGTACTTAGTACTTCTTAGACTACTTGCAAACATAATATGAACTACTTTTACTGTGTACTTTTTGAGTAATTTGAGTTTCAAAGTCCTCTCCAGACAACAAGAATGAGCATTTTTGTCAACTTTAATGTGGTCATTCTTGTTCTCTGGAGTGGACTTTGAAACTCAAATTACTGAAAAAGTACACAGTACAAAGTCCACTCCAGAGAACAAGAATGACCACATTAAAGTTGACAAAAATGCTCATTCTTGTTGTCTGGANATAGAAACTAAGCTTGCATTCCTGAGGCAATTCTCATTTATCATGGCTCCACCTAAAATAAAAACAACAATAAGACATGCGTGCCACTTACGGGCCATGTCTTTCCAGGTCGTCCCTATCTGTCTCTCTGTCTGTATCTGTGCGCTCATGGAGCCTCCTGCATCTTTCCCCCCCCTTCTTCTTGACCCTCTTAGGTGTGAAATCCTCATCTCTCTCATCATCTCCTGCAACAATATTGAGTCATAAAGTCCATGAAGATGGTCCTCGGCGTCCACTAGAATGGACATTTATAAAAGAGCTGGTATTTGAAAACTTGAATTATTAAATTGCTTTCAGAACTAATTATATAGTTCCTCACATGTTAATAAACAAGAACATATATATGATTTTCATGGTAACAATTACAATTATTCAACAATATTTGACTTCTCCTCCTGCTTCTATAAAATGTTGTTTTTGGTATGCCAGCCATGTTGGATGAAAAGAAAGAGGAACTTCCCAGCATGCAATTCTAACCAATGACATATCACTGGAAAGACCAGGATGTCCTCTGTACAGTACATCAGAGATTGATAGAGTAGCTCAAAAGAGTAAAAGGAGATGCATGTTAACAAAATGTCCACTACAGTGGACATTTTCAATGGGCTGGGTCCCAGGAGGATATTTCACATCATTCATCCACATCTGTAAAGAAACTAAAGGTAGTGGAGCAAAAGTACACCATTTACCTCGGAATTGTAGAGGAGCAGGAGTACAAAGTAACACAACATTGAAATACTCAAGTAAAGTACCTCAAATGTACAAATGTGATTGAGTAAATGTACTTAGTTACTTAGCATCAGTGGATTTTGAGTGCAGGACTTGTTCTTGTAACAGAGTATCCCTACTCCCTTGTACTTCTACTAGTAGGCTACAGACCTGAGTACTTCTACTTGAGTACAGACCTGAGTACTTCTACTTGAGTACAGACAGTACTTCTACATGAGTACAGACCTGAGTACTACTTGAGTACAGACCTGAGTACTTCTACTTGAGTACAGACCTGAGTACTTCTACATCAGTAGGCCTATAGACCTCAGTACTTTTACTTGAGTAAAGACCTGAGTACTTCTACTTGAGTACAGTACTGAGTACTTCTACTTGAGTACAGACCTGAATACTTCTACTTGAGTACAGACCTGAGTACTTCTACATGAGTACAGACCTGAATACTTCTACTTGAGTACAGATGAGTACTTCTACATGAGTACAGACCTGAATACTTCTACTTGAGTACAGATCTGAGTACTTCTACTCGTACAGATTTGAGTACACAGCAGTACACGGATCCTCCACAGAGCGACACCGCCCCGCTGCAGGGTGGAGTTTCAGCAGCACTGCAGAGAGCGGATAGGGAGGGGAACTGAGAACAAGTCGCTATCTGGCTTTTCCCCTTGCTGAAAAAAATCTATCAGGAATAACCGAAACAACTTCAACAATTTTTATTTTTTGCGTTCCAAAGTCCAAGGGGCCGCCGGCGGGAGTGGACTCACGCGCTCAGGTCAGACTTTCTAACTTTGAAAAGTTTCCACCATTGTAGCAAGAAGTCCTTGACGTCACCACAGGCTCGAGCGAGAAATCTTCCTAAAAGTGCTCAGACTCAGGCCTGCTGCTGTACAGACGGGCTTCAAACCGCTGTGTGTGTGAAGAGGCAGTTAAGAGACGACGTGCTGTCCATTATCAAGCGCTACACACACAGAGGGACACATATGCGTTTCCTCCACACATGAATGTCCTGTGGGCTCTCACTGTTCATCAGAAACATGCAGTGTTGTGTTCACGTTTCCGTCTGGCGTTTTCTCTATGAGGTCTCTGTGTTTCTTCAGAGGGGGAAGAAGTGTAGGAATACTCTGTTACAAGCAAAAGTCCCCCAACCCATTTGTTAGTCATGTACAAAAGTATTCAAAGTATACTTACAGTAGCCTACCAAAAGTGGAAGTACTTATTATGGAAATTGGCCCATTTCCTTATTATATATGAAATGTTTTGATTATTATTATTGATGCATTAAGGTGTTCTCAAAGCTGGTAAAGTGCAGCTAGTTTGAATGACTTTGTATACTGCAGGGTAGCTTGTGAATTTTCTCCAGGTGGAACTAAAGTCTGATTTAAGACTTGATTATATTTCACAACTAGTAACAAAAGGGCCAATATAATTGTAGTGGAGTAGAAGTCCAAAGTAGCAAAACATTGAAATACTCAAGCAAAGTACACTTATCTCCACATTGCAGTTCTTGAGTACATGTACTTTCCACCTCTGGTTTTCTTCACCATTCATAAATGTGCTCTCTCTGTCAGAGTTCCCTGTGTTAAAGAGGTGATTGTCTGGAGACCACCTCCCCACTGCTTCCTTTCGGACCCACAGCAGCTCCACAACCCTCATTGTGTCAA